GGCATGATTAATTCCAGAAGTTATTTAAAAATTCTCTAGAATTAAAAAAAGCTAAAATATTTTGGTTCACAAGAACGAATAGGTATTGAAAATGTCCTTTTAATTAGTTTTATTTTTTTAAGCGAATAAAGTTAGAAGGACGAAATTCGGGGATGTGGTCGAGGTCATATTAGTCCTTAGCATATAATTTTTTCGAATATAATTATTATAAAATTTCGAGGATATCCAATGATAAAATGTGAAAATGACATTTTCAATAAATAATCGTCCTTATGCACTCAAAAATTTAATCGGCCTTATTTCTACGGAATTTTCTCTTTAATTTGATAGTAATACTGTTTTTATAAATTACACTGAATTTTTTCAATAATTTTTTGAAGTAATTATATTTTTCAAATTTGAAAGTCCTTCAAAAAAATTCCTGCCATCAGAGTGAAAAACTGTATTTGGCACATGGTTTCGCGAATATATGTATACAATTTTTTATGTGTAAAATTTACTGTCGCACGTGTAGTATATCATTGTGTAGCAAAGTATATTATTTAAAAAAATTCCAGTTTCAAATCTATCTGTCAAAGGGGAAAGTAGGAAGCGCCGCAGACATTACTTTAGTCTAGCAAGGTTCAAACGATCTCTGAGGCACCTTTATATATTTTAGTCTTTCGTTCCATGGGAACGAGAGAAGTTTAGGCCTACAGTGGTCGCAGTAGGAGCACATTCACTCTGCCGCTTAAACCTCTTTATAAGTAAACTATACGTGCTTCGCCGATTTTATAAAGGTGAAAATTTAATGGAAATATTTTGTTGTGAACGAAAGTTATGGTTCAGACGAAGAACGAAGGCAGTCTGTGAAGAATTAAGGGTTAAAAGAAATTTACGGGAACGAGATGTTGATGAAGCATATAAGAGAAAATATTCGCTGCTGAGAAATCTTATTCACAAATTTTTCCAATATGACGGAATGGACCTGATATTCTAATTTATATTTTTTTCCATTTTGGTTATCAAAAAGTGCTTTTTTTCGTAGTTTGCCACTTATTATAATTTTTTTTGTTTTGTATAAAAACCAAACCAGAAATCTTTTTAACAAAAATCATAATTTGGCCATTAAAATTGGATTCCTACCAAGCTTAATCGACTTTTTCGATCATACCATAACGGTTATTTTAGGCTTTAATTTTTTTTAAAACGCTCATAAAAATGCAGCCTCCTTATAAGGGTCAAAATTGACAGAACAACTAAAAGCGCAAAATAACGATTTGGTCGGGCAAATATAAATCTATTTTAGCGGCTATTCTTCATTAAAAAGAAAAAATAACAATTTTGCAATGATCTTAAAATAGGAATCTTGGCATTTAATGGTTATTTTCGGTCCCTGCCGGCCCTGGTCAATTTTTCTCAATTATCTACAAACTGTTTAAGTGGAATTATTGCCTTTTGTTATGGAACTCCTCATATGTACTTACTTACCTACATATATTCAATATGCTTGTATGTATGTGTATCATCTGCTGTAATTTTCATTCATCGTGCGTCGATACTTACATATGTATGTATGTAAGTTATCTAAACTGAAATCACATACATACGTACATACATATGTACATACATATCCACTTATGTGTGAACGTATGTATGTAGAAGCACATTTGGGGCTTCTTCGTTTATTTGAACAGCAGCAAATAAATTCACCAATTTACATAATATCCTTAAATATCCTTTAATGGCATTCAGGTTCAATGGCGCAACGGCATCATTTTTCTGTACTTTATTTTCCATTTTTTCGTTTCGTTTTTTTTCATTTTCTTGCCATTAGTTTTAATGTTGTTGTGTATGTATAGTGTGCATGTGTGTTAGAGTACATGGCTCGTTTACGCATCACCGAAACGTGTTCTTGTACAACTATAGCCGAAAGGATTTCCCTAATAGACGCTAATATTGTAATATGTTGCCATTGTTAAGCTGCTATTATTATGTTTGTTTTTGTGTGTACATACATACATACATACATTTAAACTCATTTGTTGTTAGCTTTTTTTATGGCTCTGAGCAGTGCTAATTTGCTGTATTGCTTATGCGCTCGTTATCCTGCGATACGAGTGGTTGGTTGGTCGGTTGGTTACCTTTCTTGCGGGCACAGCTCTCCACTCCACTTCATTCCTCTTTTCTTTTTGCCTTCATTGTATGTCTTTCAGCTTATTCCCCTTTCCCTCGGACCGGTCGGTTGGCCAGCGCACGCGCTTCCTATAAACTTTCATTTAGCTCAGTTAACTGTCGAAACGGTGCGCGTAACGGGAACACGTGCCCTATTTAACACACAACCACAGCCACAATCGACACTCACACACACACGCACCCGTTCACCCCGCAATGCCCGTAGGCCATGAGTCCGAAATCGAGAACGAAACTGAGCCGCGTCGAAACCCTTGACAAGTCGGGTAGAAAACGTAATCCCTTTGAATGTTGTTGTTTTCCTGTTGCTGTGGGTTGCATTTTTGTCCTGCACCCTCATACACTCAAAGGTATCCGCTTAACTTCTTTGACTCTCTTTCCGTTGGCCCATATACATATGTACATACATACATACATACATACATACATAATATGCAAGTGTGTATGAATGTTTTTTACTTTTGTGCCACAGCGCTTCCAGGTGCGAACAAATTGCGACTGCCAGTGTCCTGCAACGACGCGCTGCTGCCAACAGCTGTGTTGCAAGTGTCGATCACTTTGTTTGTGCCCCTTCTGTACGAGGGTGCCTTTATTGAGTGCGCCTTAACTTGTTGAAGGCTTTGATGGTTTCGGCAGCCGCGGCGGCGACTTTTTGCGATGCAAAGCGAAAGTTTAATTCACCTTCAATAGCGCGGCACCACTGTGGCATTAAAGAACATTTGCGAGCACAAATGCGGCACTGCAGTTCGATTAGAATGCTTTTTGTGCGCGCGGTGCGCTTTTTGCCGAACGCATTGAAAAGGCAAAATCGTCGGCGCAGCGAATTTTTCGCCCTCTTAATTACGCTTCACTCGCCTCCGCAGCCCAACTGCACGCTAAGCGTTGCACATTGCGCATTGGCAGTCACCATGACCGCGCTAGCCCTTCGTTTTCACTTCGTCGGCGTTTTATGGCTTCCGCGCGTGCTTCAAAGACGTTGCGCCGTGCCCGCCACTCACAGTTCGAAACCCACAATTTCTCTTACTGGACACACACAAATACATACATACACACTTGCGCATACTTGCACTTGCGATAAATGTGTGCATTTTTCGGTATTTCTGCGGCACTTTGCGCCGCTTTTAGTTTTTGTTAGGCGGCGCTTTCGCTGGGCTTGACATGTTTTATGTTCGCCCCAGTTGAATTGCATAAATTTCAATTAGTTTGGCTGGTTGCGCTCCCCGACGGTTTGTTGTTGTTGTTGTAAACTACAACTAAACTGCAATACATAAACCAAATTCATGCCAGGGTGCGTGTGTAGTTGAGCATAGAGTTTTACAAAATATTTATGACAAGATTTTTATCAACAAACATTTCGCATTCGCCTGAGTACATTTTTTGCTACTTGCAACACGCTGCGGCATTTGTGGAGTAATAAATTGTTGGTGCAACGATTGTGGCATGCAGAGTCGCATATTTTTTACTATCGAATTTGGGGTTGGAAATTAGAAGTGAGAGTGTGTCTGTGACTCATCGCAAGGTGGAAATTCGTGGAAATTATTTTTTACCTTATTCTAGTGAAATTTATTCGCAACGCAAATTTTGTGTTCGAAAGATTGTGAATGATAAAAGACGTTCGCAAAAATTATTCAAATATTCACGAATGGTGAATGTTAAACTGACAAAAATCGTACGAAGGGTGATCGACAACAAAAAGATAAGCGACTATTTGCTTTGAGGACAATCTCTATAAAAAAAACAACACTTTTTCGAAACCTTTCTGACAGTGTGCATAAAGATAACACGGGTTCACAAAAAAAAGCTTCTGCATGTTGAAATAAACCTCTATATCCCTATGTTATTCAACGCCCTGAATGTGAATCCGAGCTCTGTTAGTCTCCATCAAAAAATCCGTCAAAAGCTACGAAAAGTACTAAAAAACACTTTTTAAAAAAAATCCATCCATTGTCCGATAATTTTAAAATAACGATAAAATGCGGGACAAATGCAGGACACTTGGAAAAAATCAGTACATTTTGAGGTTTTTCAGGTTTGAAAAACTACGCAGGACCGACATTTGAAAAACAGTACGGTCCTGCAAAAAACAGAACGGATGGTCACCGTAGCTATACAAGAAGGCAAATGTCTAATATGGGCGCACCACGGTTAAATGCCGAATTGGAAGTTAGTTGCGAAAATAAGATAATTAAAAAAAATTAAAGCAAGTGATTAATAAAAATCGACCCCCGCACTACCCAATCGCTGGAGCTATTTGTTTCCATTTAAGTAATAGACTTTCTAAGTAATAGACCCTCTAAATTCTAAATATGAACCATCCATGCCGTACTCTGGTACGGGGTTTTCAAATATCTCAACACCTTGCGCTATGTAGCGGATTAATTCATATTTCGTATTGCATTGTCAACGGGTGCTCAGCCAAGTTTAAAATTTCAAGTCTCCAACTCATCAGGAAGTTGGTTAAAAATTAGATTCCACACAGGTGAAATGTTTGATAGAAGAGACTGATGTTTTGGCTTTATGCATTTCTGAACACAGCCAAAGTAGAAGAAGGTTTCTTATTTACAGCAGATATTCGAATTTTTTTTTTTTTATATATTTTCAGTTCAGCCGCTATGTTGTGAGGTCAATATAAAAACTCGTTACTTTTATTATTTACAGGCAAACATTTCTCCGGAGGTTTTAGCGTTCAGCGGGGCTCTTAATCTTAAGTTCATTTACCGTTGTCGTAATCACATTTTGGTGACTGCTTTTTGTATCGAAAATCTAGAGTATTTAAAAGACAAAAACCAAAAACAGAAAAGAGAAAACGTTTATAAATTGAAAAGTACCTGCTTGAATGATTGGGTTCGTGTGCAAATGGCTCGGCGTAGATATTTCGTACGGGCGGTACGCGCCGCGGCAATGGAGGCGGCACCGGATTATAGCCATCCATGATCGTATCACAATCGGAGTATTTCATTGATTTCATAGTCATTGTGGCGCTTTTGTGGCTTGCTTTTTATCTGGTACTTTTATGTGTTCTTTGTTGCTATTCTTGGCGGACTGTTCGGCTTTTCGTTTTATCACGCGCGCACCCGCCTCGAATGTGGCATGTAAAACGATTTCAATTAATTTTCGTTATTTGTTTATATTTATTTCGCAGTGACTATTGTTGTCTTTTTTTTTTGTCGTGGTTCTCATTGTTACTGATGGCAAAAGTGCAGGGAAGAGGGCGAATTGAATTAAAAATTCGCCATTTGCCAAAAGTACCTATGTATCTTCCAATGTTTCGCTTTCACGCGTTCTGCGCTTTGCTTTACGCTTACATTCGCCTTTTATTACAATTAAACTTTTGTTTTTGTTTACTTCGTCGTTTTGTTTTACAATTTACTGCTCGCTTATTGCGCGGCAAAATATGTAATTCGCATAAATATCGCTGCTTCTGCGCGAATTCGTGGTAATTAAAAGCGGAATATGCGCGAACTCGACGCCACCCGCCAGCGAAGGGACAAGCTGTGTACTTCGTTGCGTCGCGGGATGAGCGTGCAATCGCCAATGTGTGCGTTAATTATGCCGCGCTGCAATATGTGCGTATGTTGACTTTGTTTTTCGCACGCGTTGCACTTTGGATTTAAAATTCATGTTTTTATTTAATTTTCGTTTAATTTTTTTTATTTTTTTCTTTCAGAAGTACTAATTATTTACGGGCGCCGACGCAGCAGATAGAACCACAGCGTGCACGCGGAGTTGTTCTGTAAATTAAAGCTTACGCGAATGTCATTCCCCGTATTAACGCGCTCCGATTTAATGGAATGCAAACATTGTTCTTAGCTTCCGAAGCGCGTGCTCCGCGCACTTGGACGAGAACAGCAGCGACATGTTCGCTGCGAGCTCGATCGAAATGTCTCCTAACGCGTTTCACTTCCACTTACGACAACTAAAGTACAATACTAAACACCATTCATTTTTGGCCTAGAAAAGAAGATAATTAAAATTTGAGGTTAGATTTTAATTTAAAAAAAATCCATGTGAGTGTGTATTTGTTGCCTTATTTTCCTCGTATTTCCTTTATCGAATTTCGTAAGCTGAATGTTGAGCGATGAACATTGAACCAACATTACGAACGCCGTCTGGCGTGGTTTGCGTGAATAGATTGATGTACCTAGTCGGATGTATGGCTAGACAATTAAAGCAGCCAGCCATTTCCATTCATTAGGGCGCGCCACAATCACAGCTACAGCTGCGACCACCTACCGCTCGCGTAAGTAAGTGAGCGTTTGAATAAATGTGAGTGTGCGCAACACATATCCAGATTACAATCGAGTCTAATCAACGCCCAAATTTGTAAAAAGATAAAACAAATTAAGTACATATGTAGCGAGCGAATCAAACTCAGTCGGAATTTCAGTCCACCTATTTATACAAAAATATGCGATTGTATTGGAAACGTTCAATCAAACTGATCATTAGCCAACAGACGAATGCGGCGCTGCTGACAATATAATGCGGCACGAATTGTGCCTCATCACGAAAGCGTAGCACCAATCAGCGCCAATCCAATACCGTCCCAATAAATATTAAACTTTCGTTTAAGATGAGTTAAATTTATTAAAGAAGAATAAAAAAAAAATGGATATGAATCACATCGGGATTAGATTGCGAAAATACCCTAATTGAATTTATCAGCATTGTTCATTGTGTGGAATGTTGAGTTAATGAATGTACCTATTTCGAACTAATTGCGATTGGCTCTTTAATTAAGCATAGATTGTGACTCAGCAATTACCTTATAAATTAAAGTTGGATTAAGAAAGTTCGATTTTTTTTTTTTATTAAAACGTAGTGAAACATTTCATAATTATCTATGAGTTTAGTTAAGTATGGATCTAAGTAAAGGTATATTTGTGTAGTTAAACCTTGATATAGCTAACTTTAATACAACGAAAAACTTAAACAAGAAAATTGTTGCTGAGACAGCCAATTCAAGCATTGTAAATAAAGCCGGTTCGTTGTTTATGGACCTGCGCCAGAAATTCAACCAACCATTGCCGACCGCGCAAGAAGTAGTTGCTAATGAGTGCATTGGTTACGTTATGTACCGAGCACTGGAAACTTATATACCAAAAGGAATTGCAAAATTCTTCCGAAAACTCTGATCAGACTCTGTAGAAATTCGCTTCATTGATTCGATAATAGCTCATTTCATGTTCCACCAGGTCCAACGACGCAATCAGGTCCAAGCACAGAGCTGAACTAGTTGAAGGGACAGTAGTTTCAACTGGAAATGTTAATATAACAGTTCCGAAAGAGCGGCTCGTATTTCCAACCCAAGAAGAAGAAGAAAAGCGGCAGTGCTCGTGGTTGACCTGCAAGGCAATATTTCGGGCAGAAATAAAGATTTTGAATCAGATTCCCATGACCGTACGTCCTTAGTTGAAATTGGCAGTGGTGGCGACATTGGATACCTTCATGAGTCTCCCAAAAAACATCATGGGCGTGAAAGGAAGCCAACGCAAGAAATGTAGCTGAGGTAAAGGAAGTCATTATATATGTTACCAGATCAATACAAATAATACCAACCAAGGGTCAAAATTGGAACCACTATGGAAATGTCAACAGGGAGACCCGGATTTGACAGTGGTAGTGGTAAAGTTGACCTTTGCTAAAGCAACAACCGTCCAGATAGTTGATATATAGGGGATTGCTGACATTCTCAATGAGTTGGTCCGGATGGAGAGCACGATGGAATCGGTGAAGGAGTGGATTGCCAAAATCTTGAAGTCATGACCAGAAGAAATGGGATATCTACCTAGCTGAGGTGGAAAATGTGCCCACGCGAGAAGAAATGGTAAAGACTGGAAAATACGTCACCCGTGTTCGGAAAACACACACACAGCTTTAAGACCGCGCAATCAAATTATGAGTGAAAAAATGAAAGCAAAGTGCAATAAAACAGCGTATGCCGATATGTTTCAGGAAGGCGATCTGTTGTTGCTGTACGGTTCACAACAAGTTTGCGATCATTTTGTGTGCTTTATGTAACAACCGAGTGATCGAAGTGAGGTGGACATTCAAATGTTTCGATAAATATTTAATCCGTAACAATACGTATGTGTTTATGTTGATCTACAAATTTGTTTCCAGTTTAACTTCACTAGAGACTTCACATACGAACCGTAAATTACAAAATGGAAATTCTACAAAAAATCGTAAAAACGAACGATGATTTGTTTAACCAAATATTAACCCAAATTAAACAAAAAAAATCTTTACTGCTGTTCAGTGGCTCATGTCACTAATCCATGTCTATTCCTTATTACATATGTGCTTTAGTAAGGATTAGACATGGATCAGAAGAGGATTTAAGGTATTAGACACTTGCCAGTGTTCTTTTTTTTGTATTTAGAGTTGTGCCGTTATTGCCGAGAACCATCGATATGTATGTATGATGCTAAATAAAACAGAAACTTTAAATAAATGAATTATAAAGAATAAATATTTATTAGAAGAAACACTTAAAGCTTCTAAGCTATATGCAATGAAAAATTTAAAGCCACTTCATTTCCAAATAAAAATTAACAAAAAAAGATAGAAATTCGAATAACATCTCTTAGCACTGTTGTACTCATCCACATATATATTTAATATTTACATGAAATTTTTAAACAACAAAAAAACGCAAAACATGTAACCAATCGCGTACAAAGTTGTGAGTATCTAAGGCGATTCCCGCCCATGTTGCAGGCCAACAAATCGGCACATAAACTTGTGCAGCGTCATTGTCTTATATTGAAAAAAAAAGCTGTTCTCGTGGACGTGTAGGGCAAAGCACACAGCTTCAAAAGCTAAGGCAATTCTGTGTCGCATGACGTCGGCAATTGCTGTACCACCAATACTCCCATTCACACCGTAATCGAAACGCTTGTTGGCTGAGCCGCGTTGAGCATTGAGGTGTGGATTATGCCGCATTTCGGGGATATACCTTTCGAATTTAATTTTATGATGAAGCGAAATCAATAGACGACGGGGGAAATTACTTTAATGAAACACGTACATAGTTTGCACTGAGGAGACGAAAAAGGCAGCAGCTGCAACGTGGTGTCATAAAAGAAAGGTTGAGATAAGCCGGCAACACGAGTGGCCACTTTAAAGGCAGCGCAATCATAACAAAGTTCGTAGCGAACTGTTAGAAAAGAAAATCCGCAATGCGCCGACCAATCTGAACCACAAACTCAAAGTCCATTCTAATAATTGGACGCCGGCTTTGTCGGGCAACTCACGGTGACCGCTACATGATCGCATAAAAGCCCTTGGGGATTTCGTGGCAAACGAATTCACTGCGAATAGCCACAGCCAGCACTAAGCTCATAACGAACTCACAGACAACAGGCATCGAGGCGCGGCAATGTACATATGCGAAGAACGAGAAAAAGCTCGGCTGTTCATATTAAGGGCTTTCTTACAAGTGCATGGTACTCAGCGCTTGCACGACTGTGCAATAAAAATTCACAAACAAGTGCGATGTCGGCATGTGGGCGCGTTCAGGTGGAGCATGGCAATTGACCGTTTCAAGGTGGGTCCGTTTGCCCCTTTCGCTCGTTTCTCCTACTTAGATGTTGAGTGTATGTTTGTAGTTGGCATTTGTTGATTTCACTATGCAGCCAACACATGTCTTTGCCAGACCTTCTCCCCGCGCGATGCTAATCCCAGCAGTTGTCTGCTGCTCGGCGTGCTCGCAGACCCAACACTGCACAAATCCACCGGGATCAAGCAAAGAATCGCAAGAAGATTAAGCGCGCGCTTGTAATGGCACACACTTATTGAGTGAGGTAGACCCAACCCAAAACGTACAGCAGCTTAACTCGGTGAATCCAGCCAAGCCCAAAGCACTCGAGCAACAAGCGCAGCAGCCGCCGACCAATCAACCAGCGACTTTGCCATCCAAGCAGCTAAGCAACTGTAAATGGCAAGCTGTGTCTGGCGTCTAGACAAACACTTTGTACTTGCTTGTACTTGTTCATAGCGTCCCTCACCCCCCTCCTCCACCCCCCTACGCGATGACCAATTGCGCCAAGCAGAAAGTTATCACTCATTAGTGGGCTCGCACGTCTTTCAGCCTCAGCTTTTCTAGTTAAGTGTTTAACTATGTATTGATATTTTCGAATATGGTTTCTAGTTGCAGCTGGCGAATGGACCGATACATTTGTGCATTGACTGGTTGGAGCGGTAGGCGTATGTGCGTAGGCTAGCGCGTCTGGTGGAGATGCCTCCTCACCCAACCAATCAAGTATGAGAAATTTATGAGCAATTCTTGACTTTTTTGCCTAAATGCAGCACTTGTGTTTATTTATTGTGTGCCTCTTCAATTTCTTCTTTTTTCTCTTCCGTAGAGTGTATCATTGAACAGCGAGCGGCAAGTGCATCTGATCATAAATCATGAATGTTTATAAATAAATCTGTGGAAGAACAGAGGTGAAACTATGCTTTGCCCTTCCACCTACAACTACAAAACGAAATGAAACCAAACAAATAAGCAATAAAAATTAAAGTGAAAAAAGTACAATTAAAAAATTAAAGAAGTCCGGAGAAAGTGTGGAATGCACCGCTCCCCTGTTAGATGCTGTTAGCGTGAGGTTGGGAATGCAATCCGCGAAGACATTCTAAATGAATGACAACATATGTTGGAAATATCGTAAGTCTTCTACTGAGCAGAAAACCGATTTCAAAAAGGAAAAAAAAATGTATATAGCGGTTAATAACTTTCAAGAACTTTGTCCCTGAAACAAATGGAGACAGAGTGTAGTCCTACGTCTGTTGTTGTAGTTGCAAATATGTAACTGGGCGATGTTTGCTCAATGATGTCCTCTTAAGTGGCTTATCCGTTTATTAATGGCCACAAAAGGTTGTACGTTAGCCCTTTGGCAAATGGTGCAAGCCCAGCTTGTATACATACATATGTGTCCATT